CGCCCCCACACCCCCCCCCACCCCCCCACCCCACCTCCCCTCGCTCCTGGGGGGGCCTCTTCCTGGTGGTATTTTCTTTCAGTGCCCCGAGTTGGAAACTCTTCCTGTTTTATTTTTTGTTTTCTTCCTATCACCTACCGCCTGACATCTACGCTTACCGGTTACATCTGTCTCCCCTCAATGGAATGTAAGCTCCGTAAGAGCAGGAACATTTGTGTAGCTGTTATTCTCTGTTGCGTTCCTACCTCCAAGCAGTATACCAGCACTCCCTAAAAGTTTGCTAAATGAATGAATGGTTGGATAAGCAAGTACTTTGGCAGGAGCTTGCCTCCGTAACTGGTCTGCACAGATTGGGGTTCGCGAACAAAGAGAGACCCTGTTCCCTACAGCAGCGGTCACCAACCGGTGGCCCGTTAGGCCTGAAAGGTTGGCGAACGCTGCCCTACGTGACACAAAATGTCCTGAAATAAACCAAGTCACAAAACACCCCAGATGGCTGCCTCGCCCAAACTCTCCCATTTCTTCTCTTCTGAGTTGGAAGGAAGCCTCTTTAACACCTTGGCCTCTTGCATGTCTCCAGCCATGGAGAACTCATCTTTCAATAGGGAGGCAGCAGCAACCACTGGGGCAGTGCCAGGAACAGGGACAGCCAGATGGAAAGGGCATAGCAGGGCCTCTCAGTCACATCTGAGTCCTGACCCCTCCGGCTCTAGAAGGCCTACTGGAAACTTTTCCACGGGCATCTCACAGTAACTCTGTCACATGAGAATGGCAGGGGCATGTGTACTTTGAAAAAGTATGTTCAACATGACAATATGATTTTATATTTAGCAAAAAGAAAAACAACCAGTGTGTTTGTGGAAAGTCAACCTAATAAAAGCCTGGCTGCTGAGTCATGGATTTGTTTTAAAAGTTTAGAAACACAGACAACAGCATGGTGATTACTAGAGGAAAAGGGGGCTGGGAGGAGATTGAAGAGAGTATGGGGGAGGAGGTGAGTTGAGAAACATAACAATTAATATTGAATGAATTAATGTATGCTAACTATCTGTACTGAACAACTCAACACTATGTTATATGATGCAATATTTTATGAAATTCTGACTTTTGAGAGCTTCCTACAGCCCTCTTCGAACCTGTCCTATACCCGGAAATAAATAAGACTCGAATTATTTTCACGTAATGTTCTAACGCAGTCTAGATAATTCTTAGTTTAAGAAGGGTGACTTTACATGTTCTGGTAGCTAAGGTGAAAGTATAGGGTCAATTTCATTTTCTGACATTTAAAGAAGATACAAATGAATTATCAATGACGTGGGTTTGCTCAGTATGTCATTTATTCAAAGTTCATTTTTTAGTTCTTCAGTCTCCTCTATCAAATCATCCTGTTCTATTAGCCCCACCCCAGCTGAGGCCCTCATCACTCCCATTTGAGTTTGTGTTCCTTGAGGGAAGGGACTATGTGCCATTTCTGGAGCCTGGCACAATACTTGGCACACAAGCTGAGTGTTCTCCTGCCCGCTGGACACTTCTCCCTCCTGTCTCTCCTGCACTCCTCTACTGAACGGAATCTCCCCACAACAGCTCCAGCCTTATCTCGACACTCCTTTCCTCTGCCCAAGAACCCTTTTCCACCCTGGCCGGTGGTTCGGTGGTTAGAGCATCAGCCCGAACACTGAAGAGTCTCGGACTTGATTCCTGGTCAAGGGCACGCACTGGGTTCCAGGTTTGATCCCTGGCCCAAGTCGGGCAGGTGCAGAAGGCAACCAATCAATGTGTTTCTCTCTCTCTTCCCCTCCTTCCCTCCCTTCCACTCTCTCTCTCTAAAAAAAAAGAAAGCCCTAGTTGGTTTGGCTCAGTGGATAGAGCATCGGCCTGTGGACTGAAAGGTCCCAGGTTCAATTCCAGCCAAGGGCATATGCCTGGCTTGTGGGCTCAACCCCCAGTAGGGGGCATGCAGGAGGCAGCCAATCAATGGTTCTTTCTCATCATTGATGTTTCTCTCTTTCCCTCTCCCTTCCTCTCTGAAATCAATAAAATATATTTTAAAAAATAATAAAAATAAAAATAAATTTAAAAAATCAATGGAAAAAACATCCTTGGGTAAGGATTAACAACAACAAAAAGAACTCTTTCCCAAAGTGGGTTCTGAAAACACAACCCCTCAGGATGCTTGGGGGGTGGGGGGGGGGCGCCACTAGGGTCATACAAGTACAGAATATACAGTAAGCCCTTAATATTGTCAATAAATTCTGCAACTAAGTGAAATGACATAGAACAAAACCAATTTTATCATAGGCCAGTGGTCGGCAAACTGCGGCTCGTGAGCCACATGCGGCTCTTTGGCCCCTTGAGGGTGGCTCTTCCACAAAATACCACGTGCGGGTGCGCACGTACAGTGCGATTGAAACTTCATGGTCCATGCACAGAAGTCGGTATTTTGTGGAAGAGCCACACTCAAGGGGCCAAAGAGCCGCATGTGGCTCGCGAGCCGAAGTTTGCCGTCCACTGCCATAGGCTAATTGATATAAACAAAAGTTAAGTTCTATAGCATCTCATCAACATTATAACCAAACAAAGTTATTTGAGGACCTGCTGTATTGCACTCTCTCTCTGAGGTATATACCACCGATATGTTCTGAAAGGCCCTGCACCAAGGAAACCTGTTTTAATTAACTTTGTTTAACCCAATGTTTTCCAAATATGATTGACCACAAAAGCCCTTCCCTTCCCTCCCACCCCAACAAAGTCAATTTACATTCTCCAGAATTAGCATCCTGTGTAACACAGTTGGGGAAACACTGGCCTCTAGGATAAAATCTAAATGACTGAATAGATCCTTATTTTGTGAGTGAATACTGAGTCCATGCTGAGCACATGATACAAATTACCCTGTTGAGTCCTACCTTTGAGGAAGATATTCACGATTGTGTATTTGAGAAAAAGCTCAAAAAAGATTAGTGACATTCCCAAGGTCACAGAGCTTAAAAGGTACAAAGCTAGGACTTGAATTGAGGCCATGATCTTTGTGACTATGCCATGCCAAGATCCAGGAAGAATGCTTTCTACCCCAACATGGAGGTAGTGGGAGCCCTTAAGAGCTCGTGAGCAGGAAAGCACAGGGAGAACAAAAGGGGGAGGCTTAGGGAGGAGGTGCAGGGCTACACTAGAAAGAGAGAATTTGTCTCTGACTGAGCTAGCTCAGAACATGGAGGCCCCCCACAGCAAGGGGCACCCGGCCATGTCCCACGCCCTGGTGCAGAGGTACTCACTGGACCACTTGGTAGTAGCGCTGTAGGAAGTGGGACCAGCCCTCAGGGCTGAGGAACAGTGGGGCCTCCAGGTCCCGGTCAATGTCCAGGTGAGCCAGGTTGTTAAGGTGCTCCTCGCAGGCGCAGAGAGCCTCATCCACAAACTCTGGAGTCAGCATCACTGGCTTTTTCTCCAGTTTCTTGGGCTGCTTGCCTGCTGCAGAGGTAGGGAGGGGCCTGTCACTCTCTGACAGGTAACCTGACACATGCCATGGCACCCACGGCTCCAATGCCTGTCACTTACTGGAGGACTCATCCTAAATACACCTGAGGCCCAGCACACACCTACATCTCTTACTGCCCTGGGACCTGCCACTTACCAGAGGCTTTATTCTAAATTCACCTGAGACCCTAGTGCTCACCCTTGGTCCCCACTGTCCCAGGACCTGTCACTCACTTGAGGGTCCACCCTAACAGTCCTCAGGGCCTCTCAGCACCTATAGCTCCAAACACATGCACCCTCTCTGCTTGTGGGGCCTCTGACACACCTGTAGCCTTTGTGCCCCTGATCCTGGCATACAACAGTCTTCTTGGCACATGACACACCTAGGGAACTGCAATGGGAAGGCCTCCCTCTGGAAGAGACAGGGATTTCCCACCTCCCAGTAGACCTGCCCCTTATGACCCTGAATCCTTGGCTGAAAGGTCCTGGATTACAGTATGGGGTAGGAGTTAAGTCCAGAGAGAGAAAGGCAAGTAATAGGTGGAGCCAACATGGAATGTGGCATTCTCTGTGTCCCCCTCCACAAGGCACTAGGGGTCCTCAGACCACATGAAAAAACTACACGGTTTCACTGCTTGCTTCCCCACAGAGATCCTGTCCCAAGACAGGACTCCGTCTGTCCTCTTCGTCTGTCATTGCTGGAGAGCTGGCCACATGCCAGGCCCATGGGAGGGCTGAATGAGGCAGTGGATCAATTAACAAATGGATAGGAAGAGAGGTGGGTACGGTTGGGACAGAAGAATGGATGAGTGATGGACTGGAGGACAGTCAGGTGGTGGAAAGGAGGATGGAAAAGCAGGTGGATAGATGGGCAGATGGATCTGTGGAAGAAAAGGTAGGAAGGTGGAGGAGAGATGGATAGGAAATGTGTTGCTGAGAGAAGGTAGGTGAATGAGTAGATAAATAGTGTGGGGATAGGTGGAGAGATAGATGGATGAATGAATGCAGGGTAGGTGAATGTGAGATCGGTGGGTCTGTGGGTGAGTAGGTAGATAGATGAGTAGATGGATGGAAGGACAGATGGTGGGTAGATGTATGGATGGATTGGTGGGAAGGGGTAGTGGATGGGCAGATGGATGTGGATAACATAGATAATTTATATAGATAATGTGTGGATGAATAATGAATTGATGGGTGGATGTGCGGGAGGATAAATGGGTGAGGGAGTGGAGGGAACCACACAGTATTTACCTGGGGCCTCTTCCTCTTTTGCCTGGACAGAACATGACTTCCATTCGGACTTTACCACCAGCTTGAGAACGTTGCGGGCAGCTGTCAACCAGAAGTCCTCTGCTCCCAGGGCAGGAGATACTCTGCTCAGCCCTAGGCTCCAGGCCTGTTCTGGTTCTGGAACCTGATCATGAACTGCCCCATTTTGGATCCAGAACCTGACTACTTTCTGACTCTAGAACCTGGGTTAGAACCTGGCTCCTATTTCAACTATAGAACCAGACCCAGAATATGACCTGACTTGGCCCATATTCTGCCTTAAGAATCTTAACCTATGCCCAGTTGGCATGGCTCAGTGGTTGAGCATCGACCTATGAACCAGGGGGTCACAGTCTGATTCCCAGTCAGGGGCATGCAGGATACAGCCGATCAATGATTCTCTCTCTCTCCCTCTCTCCCCCACCCCATCTTCCTCTCTAAAATCAATGATATAGATATATAGAGATATATAAAGAATCTCACCTAGACCTGTTGTCTAATTTTTCTCTTCTGTTCCTGATAGATTCTTGATATTTATTCTAGTCTGAGAACCAAACCTTGGCCCAAAACCTATTTCAGATCTGGAGACTAATTTAAACCTACCATCTACTCTGACCTGAATTTAGAACATGTTTGGAGTTGGAAACTATTCTGCCTTAGAAGTCCAAAGTCTAGAGCCTTTTCTGGATTAAGAACCCAATCTAGCCAGTGGAATTTGACACAGGCCTGGAACCCAAACTCAGCCTATCGACCAACTTTTAGAACCTGCTCCAGAACATAAGCTAAGCTAACTAAGACCTTCTGGAGGTCTGGGCTGACCAAGCCAGGAGGCTCATTAAGGGAGGCACATAAGGGAAAGATAAGGATTAGGGATGGAGAAGGAATTCTGTTGGGGTGGACAAGAGAATGAAGAGAGAAGCCCTTTGCTCTCCAACACCAGCCAGGGCTTTAGCCTTCATCCTTCAGCTGGACGGGTCCAGGCACAGGGCTGGGCATCTCCTTACCTATGAAGGCCTTTTTGTCTTCCTCAACCCCCAGGTGGTAGCAGCGTGGGAAGAAGGAGTCAGCATCAGCCTCATCAAACCATGGCAAATTCCGGAGATTGAGACATAGACCCACCTATGGAATTAGCTGCTGAGGGGGCAGGATGGGACTTGCCCAGAGAACCTCACAGGGGCTCCCAGCCTCGGCACATGCCCAGACAGTTCAGGCAGACTCTACCTGGACATTCTCAGAGCCTCTGCCCACTTGTTAGGACTGACTCGCCCATACCTATCTCTGTATATTTGCCCACACAGCCCCTCTGCCGAGAATGCCCCACATCCCTCTTACCCACCCTTTCACATTCTTAATGACCTGCTTCCTCTAGGAATCCCTTCCCAATCCACACCAAAAAATACACTAACAGGTGCAATTATAAGGACTTCATTCTTGCCACAATCCTAGAAGATAGTTTTACTGGTATTCTCATTTAAAGATGAGGAAACTGAGGCTCAGAGAGGTGAAGTCACATGTTAAAAAACCCAGGTAAGATAGAATGGATTCATTAGCCAGATATCCTCTGCTCAGGAGATAAGGACCAAGACTCTTGCTCAGTCATTGGACTTGGTGTTTGTTCTGGCTCCATATCCCGTTTGAATTCTATTTTAGTCAATGTCTACATGTGCCAGACATGCTGCAGGGGTTGGATTTGAACTCAGGACTGTCCAACTCCAAATCCCACTGAATTATAGACCAAACTCCTCCTGAGAACTCTCTTACTGACAAGGAGAGCAGGGAACTGGGGTGCTAGCCCAAGGGCTGGGGGTTGGAAACTGTAATGCCTGCTGTCCTGGGGAGCCCACCTTTGTGGTAAATGAGCCAGCCCGGGCATAGTGGTTTATCATTTGGTCCTTGGAGAGGAAGCGACAGTCCAGCACATCCCGCCGAGTGGTCCAGATGAAGTAGGGGATCTCATTCCGAACCATGCGGGACTGGGGAGAGGAGACATGGGAGGCTGGTGTGGGCAGCACAAGGCTGGAGGAGGCTTCTTCCTGCCCTGTTGAGCAGGGTGAGTGAATGGAAAGAGAGGATACTTCCAAGGTGGCCTCTAGCCCACATACCATCTTTGTGTAAAATAAAATAAAAACAGCTCTTCCTCCAGGGCACATACTTGGTGAGCAGGGAGCAGACAGGCTTGCAAATTCTGGGGCCAAATGCCTCTAGGCAGTGACTAAGCCAGCCGTGGGCAAACTACGGCCCGCGGGCATCCGGCCCGTTTGAAATGAATAAAACTAAAAAAAAAAAAAAAAAAAAGACCATACCCTTTTATGTAATGATGTTTACTTTGAATTTATATTAGTTCACACTACCCCTCCATCCATG